TACCCTCTTCTTTGTCTTTTACTCTAGAATATCCACTGAGACGTTCAGACTAACTTCCATCTTATGTAAAGCAAAAACTATGTGCAAGAGTACAAACTAAGAAAAAGAGAAATTAAGGGGTGGTGTTTTACTTTATGGGATGATTCAGCTCAGAACTTTCCCAGTGTATTTAGAATAGGATTCTTAATTTACCAGTATTCTTTTATGAGCAGTTTGTCAGGGATGTTTAGTTTTATGTAAAGCAGAGTTAATTTTTGCATTTGTCTGACAGATTAGTATGATTTGGTTACCTCTCTCATCTTTGAGGTAATGTTATAGGAAAAACCTGTACATTATAGTGACTCTAGATTTTGGAATCTCACAGACCTGGTCTTAAAACTCAACACTGCTACATACAAAGTTGGTAATCTTGGAGTGGCTTAATTACTCTGAGCCTGTTTCCTTATTTGTAAAATGGTGATGAGGATATATATCTACCTTGTATATTGTTAATGAAATTTAAATGAGATGATTTATGTCAAGTGCCTGGTCAAGTACTTGGCCTGTAGTAAACAGTATTTGGAAGTTATTATCTACAAATGGTTTTATCCCTTGTTCCTTGACATTTCATATTGATCTACATAAATATCTTTTAAATAAATATGAGAGTAAATAAATAAAAACAAACAAATGCATAAAAATACACACACATACACGCATGCACACACGCACAAGGGATGCCTGGCTGGCTCAGTTGGTAGAGCACGTGGCTCCTGATCTTGGGGTTGTGAATTTGAGCCACATATTGGGCATGGAGATTACCTAAAGAAAAAAGTTAAGTAAATATGAGAGTAGTGGATAAGGACACAGCCTTTAGGGCCTATGTAATTTCAAATGCTGGCTCTGCTACTTCTTAGCTGTGTGGCCATGAACAAGTAGTAAATCTCTCCTTGCCTCAGTTTCCTCATCTGTAAAATGAAGATAATAACAGTGCTTACTTCATAGGATTATTGGAAGATTTAGTGAGTTAATACATTTAAAATACAGATCAACAATGTCTGGCATGTCATAAGTACTCAATAATTAATAGCTATTATTATTTATAACTTTTTTCAAGTTTATATACTTTTATTAAGTCAATACCCAGGAGCATTTTGTTTTTATACAGAAACATTAAAAAAAGAAAGGATGGATAACATATGGGTAAGTGAAGTTAGTAGCCAATTTATAGACCACGTAAATGGGAAACCTTATTTCCAAAATCAAGAGGTTTAGCAATTATTGCTGGATTACCAAGAGTACATAATAAATAAAAAATTCCAGAAATCCTAGTGACTTATGCACTGTAAACACCAATGTAGGGGGAAATAAATACTGCTTAACTAGTTCTTTAAACTGAAAATGTATGTGTTTATAAAACGTATTCAAAGAGTATGAAAGTTCCTATAGTGGAAAGTCTTTACCTGACCCAGAACTCTTAGCTCTCTTCCCAGACCCAAAGACCGTTAACACTATTATGTCTCCTTCCGCAATAGTCTTATGTGTGTACCAAGGTATATATGAGTATATATTACCCCTTTGCTTCTTTTTTTTTTTTTTTTTTTAAGATTTTTTTTAGGGCGCCTGGGTGGCTCAGATGGTTGAGCGTCTGCCTTCGGCTCAGGTCATGATCCCAGGGTCCTGGGATTGAGTCCCACGTCGGGCTCCCGGCTCAGCGGGGAGCCTGCTTCTCCCTCTGACCCTCTCCCCTCTCATGCTGTTTCTCTCTCGCTCGCTCTCTAAAAAATAAATAAAATCTTTAAAAAAAAAAAAAGATTTTATTTATTTATTTATTTGAGAGAGAGAGAGAGCATGAGATGGGGGAGGGTCAGAGGGAGAAGCAGACTCCCCGCTGAACAGGGAGCCCGATGCGGGACTCGATCCTGGGACTCCAGGATCATGACCTGAGCCGAAGGCAGTCACTTAACCAACTGAGCCACCCAGGCGCCCCACCCTTTTGCTTCTTTTTAACATGAATGGAAGTATGCACTTTTATATTTTGCTTTTCTTAATAGTTCTTGAAGCTCATTATGTACATATCATCGCATATGCAAAATTACCTAATATTAAAGTTACTTAATATTTTATTATATGATTGTGTCATAATTTATTCAACCAGTCTTCTACTGGTGGAATTTTGGTTTTTAGTTTTTTGGCTTTTACAATACTATAGTATTGTATACAATACAATACAATACTATAGTACTTTTACATTTGGCAAGATCTATCAAAAAGAAAAATGCAGTTGCCCTCCCAAGAGGGTAGCCATGTAGCTCCATAATTAAAAAAAGAAAAAAGAGTGTGAGGGTTAAATTTGAATACTTTCCAGGTGGTTTTCAGTAGCATGCTGTGGTGGAAATCATGATTTTTAGGAAGCTAAGTGGGGTTGTTGCATATTACATTCCTGCCTCTTCCCTCCCCCAACTTTTTCATTACATTCCTGCCTGGGAAGTGTTCCCAGTGACCTGGGTTAGGCATTAAGATCATGGGAATCCAAGATTTTCCCATGTCTTCCAGCATGTTTGTTCACAAGAACAGGAAAACTTATTCCTTGCAGCAGGGGAATTTTAGCCACTGTCAGTCACTGGGGAATCTTTCAGTGAGGGTCCTTTGAATACAAATGTGGTCAAGGAGAGGAGAGGTATCAGTAGGTCAAAAGGCAGTGATAATATCTTATAGTAGTATATTTTATAGCACTTGAAATGCTTTCTCATTTGTTTATGGGAAGTAGGTAGCAGAAAGGTAGAGTGACTTGCCTGTTATCATCTACATCTAGTAAATGACAGAGACAGGTCTAGAATTCTGGACTTCTATGTTGGGATTGTTTTGGGCTCTAAGTGACAGAAAATGTCACTATAATGACTTAAACAAAAAGAGTATTATTGTCTGGAGGTAGGTGGTTGCTGATATTTGATCAATGGTCAGTAGCTCAGCAATGTCAGGGCCAATGTTATTTTCTTGGCCATCCACTTGTGTGCATGATAGCTGCACTCAAATAACCTTCTGAATTACCCCAGTCCACTGAGAGAAGCTACTAAAATACTGGCCCAAACCACTGAGCAATGAAGTTGAGTGTAACTAATTTCATGATTTATCTCAGAGTATAGGTATAGTGGTATAATATAAAGAAAATGAGCACTGGAAGTTATTAGTGCCCAGAATTGGTGATGGTTTGGGGAATTGGCATACCTCTCTGGTAATATAAGTGATTATTGCTCTTTTGAGGAACATTTTCACAGTTTGAGTCAAGAGCCAGCAATTCCATTTTTTTTTTTTTTTTTAAGATTTTAGTTATTTATTTGAGAGACAGCACAAGCTGGGGGGGTGAAGGGTCTGAGGGAGAGGGAGAAGCAGACTCCCCACTGAGCAGGGAGCCCAACACAGGGCTTGATCCCAGAACCCTGGGATCATGACCTGAGCTGAAGACAGATGCTTAACTGACTGAGCCACCCAGGCATCCACCCCCACAGCAATTCCATTTTTAAGAATTTATCTTAAGGGTAGGATTATGGATGTGTACAGAAATTGAGCTATAAGGATATTCTTCTTCTTCTTTTTTAAAAATTTTATTGAGAGAAGGAGCACACGAGAGAGAGAGAGAGAGAGGGAGGGTACTTGCATGACAGGGGGGAGGGACAGGCAGGAACAGGAGCAGATTCCCTGCCTAGCAGGGAGCTGACACGGGGCTCGATCCCAGGACCCTGGGACCATGACCTGAGCCAAAGGCAGTCACTCAACCAACTGAGCCACCCAGGCAACCCTGGATATTTTTCTAGTAGTATCTTTAAAGTGCAAATATTGGGAAATGCCTAAGTAAATTATGGTACAGCCATCAATTGATAAAATGTCTATATGTATTGACATGGAAAATGTTTACAATATATGAAACAGATTCATATATATGTGTATATTTATATATAGAAAAAGAATGAGAAAGAGATAGACTGGAATAGTGTGATATTGTAGATTATTATTTTTTTAATAAGAGTTTTTTTGTGATCTAATTTCCTTAATGAGCATGTATTTTTATAATAACATAAAGGCTTAATGAAGGTACTTAATTTAGTAAATGTGTATGCAAGTGATTACTGGTATCTACTTCTCTTCCAAGATACAGAATACTTTAAGTAAATGTTGTTCCTGGATGAAGACAAGTGGCTCATTGGGTTTCATAGGGAAATTATTTGCCAGTGAGTGTGTCCTTCAGGCTGTTTTTCAGACTACTTCCAGATATTTTCTTAACCATAGAGGGCCAGAGTGGGGGTTGACTTTAAACCTACACAGGTTTCTATAGGACAGTGTAGAACTTTGTACACAGGAGTAGGGATGGGCCCATATCTTTGACTAGTTCCTTTGACCTAATCTGCATGTTGTGCCTTTTATGTTTTGTTTTGTTTTTTTTTTAAGATTTTGTTTTTAGCAATCTCTACACCCAATGTAGGGCTCGAACCTACAACCCCAAGATCAAGAGTCACATTCTCTACTTACTTAGCCAGCCAGGCACCTCATTTTATGTATTTCTTAAAGTTTTTCTCTTCATGCCCAGGAATAGTATTTTTATGAAGATATTTCTTTTTTTTTTAATATTTTATTTATTTATTTGA